ATTTTAATTGTTTTGACAAAAATTTTATAATGGTATATTTTGTAATAATAGAATATTATTTTATTACAATTTTATAAATTATATAAATTAATCAAAATATAAGAAAAAAATTTAACAATCTGTTAGCCGTAAATTGGTTATTTTACTGATTTTGTTACATCAAGTCCTATTTTTACAAATGTTGAAAAGTTGTCGTGGTTTAATATAAGGAAACTTGTAGCCATAGAGAAAGTAGAGTCATTCAACAAGGATAACCATTGAGCATTAACTAAGTTATTTAATAGAGCTTGTGGATGTCCATGGCTTCTTTATTTTTATATACATATACACATATATGTATGTATGTATATGTATATGTATGTGGAGGATGTTTCAAATACAACTCATCACATTTGTACAACCAATGTAATTCAATCAATTGAAATATTTGTGAAAACGACGAGAGTTCATTTACTATGGTTTGAATATTTATGAAAAATGGTTAGGGTTCATTAATTATGATCAATACTTTATATTATGAAACAATCAAAACTTTTATGAAATCATATATTCATCAAATTAAATAGACGGTTGAGATTAAATGGTATTGGTTGTACAAATGTAAAGGATTGCATAATAACTCACCTCTATATATGTATGTATGTGTGTATATATATGTATGTATATAGAGGAGTGATCAAATACAAACCGCTCTCTTTTTTACAAATTGTACAAACTACTATCAACCAATAACATAATTCCATTTTATTTTCTTTATTTTTTTTTAATTCACAAGGGTATGGTTGTCCTTTGACTTTATAGTACATAACTTTAATAATATTTAAATCGGGAACATTATATAGATTAGAGGTTTTTTTAGGAAATGATCAATCAATTTGTTTTTATAACAATCTTGAAACAAGTAAATTTTTAATAAATACTTACTAACATCAATGAAACAAGGTAATTTCTAATGAAACATGCTCAAACTCTTCAATGAAACATGGTCATATATGATTGCATCTGGTTCACATGTATAACAACTGTAATGAAACAGATTTATATTCATAGGTATGTATAATAGTTTGTAATGAAACAAGTTCATAAGTCATATGTGATTGCATCGGGTTCATATGTATAACAGTTGTAGTGAAACAAGTTCATAAAACATGTTTTTTCTTGTTTTGCCTTTCCATGTCTCTAATATGATTTTTATGCTTTACTTATTTAGTTTGTTTCAATCTTGGCCTTTCGTCAAAAAAATGGATGAATGCGATTAGTTTACAAGGTTTGTACATGGTTTGCAAAGTAAACCCCCTCCTCTCTCTCTCTCTCTCTCTCTCTCTCTCTCTATATATATATATATATATATGTGTGTGTGTGTGTGTGTATGTATTAAATGTCAAAAGATGGGTTTTGGACCTCTTGGGGTCTCTTTATGACTTTATCCAACATGAAATTATGTTGCATCCACAAAAATCTTGCTTGCGTACCCGCATAACATGTTGCATAACTCACTGACGCACTGGAATTAATTACTTGTAACAAAACGTAATATATGTTTAAATATCCTAATATATTGTTTGATAGGCTCAAATAATTATGGATTTTACTAAAGTTTTAGAGCAATTTTAAAATAAAAACGGTTTATTAATTATTTTATAAGGTATTATTGAGTAAATATCATTAGAAAATATGTATCAAACAATTCTTATAATAGTTTTATAAAAAAAATTAATTAATACCTTATTTCAAAATTTTATTAACATTTCCAATAGAGTGCAACTAGATTGAGAGGGAGCTTCTTCTTGATTTGAAGAATTTTCACCGCCATAAAATAGGAGGCAGGGGGAGTCCGTATCGATTTGCAGAACAATAGGGAACTATGTCAGATTGTTAATGCATATTATTTAAATGTATACATGGAAAAAAGTATTACTTAAAAACCATCATTTATACATGAAATACTGCTTATTAATGTATATTACTTAAAATTCAGGATTACAAATAAAATGGAAAAAAGTACAACTTATTAAGCTTCATATTGTAATTCGTGTAACTAACTGTAGATAAATATAATCAAATACAAGATAAAATTATCATTTTAAATGTATCTAACATATAATTAAGATAATTATTGAATTCTAACAAAATATTTATATATATATATTGCTGAATTGCATAAATACCCTTATAATATATATATATATAGAGAGAGAGAGAGAGAGAAAGAGGTTGATTATTATACAATCTTTTACATTTGTACAACCAATACAAACTAATCTCAACCGTCCATTTAATTTGATGAATATACAATTTCATAGAAGTTTTGATTGTTTTCTAATATAAAGTATTGATCATAATTAATGAATTATATTCATCTTACACAAATATTCAAATCATAATAAAAAAAAACTCTCATCATTTTTATAAATATCTCAATTAATTGAGTTACATTGGTTATATAAATGAATATGGTTGCATTTGAAATATACCATATATATATATATATATATTATTAATTCATTTTATTATATGCAATATTTAGTATTGAGTTATGTGTTAACGAAAAATGGGTAAAAATATTAAATTATCGCAAATTGCATTAAAAGTAATATTTTTTAACTTGATTTTTATTTTAGGTAATATATTTTCAAAACTTTCATTTTAATACTTAAGATATAAATTTTAAATATTTAAGTATCCGGGTAATCAGTTGAAGTATTAACCGGTTACCATGTTGATGTGGTGAGTGATGCAAACTGAGTTGGATACCACACTACTCGCCACATCAGCATGATAATCAGTTATTGCTTCAATCGGTTACCCAAGTACTTAAATGTTTAAAACTTTACATCTTAGCTATTAAAATAGGAGTTCTAAAGGTACGTTACCTAAAACAGAAATCAAGTTAAAACACGGTACTTTTTTTATATAATTTACCCAAATATTACATTACGTTTGTTTAAAAAACACATTTTGTTTTTACTTTTAAAAGGCCATAATTTATATGAGGTTTAATTAACAAGTGTTGTTAG